CTCGAAAACTAAGACCCCTCGAAAACTAAGACCCCTCGAAAATAGACTTTCTCAAAGTTGTATGCTTGGTTTCCTGTTCTGGTGTGATAGGACCCGCAGGATCTTCGCCCGCGCTTTGCGCTCACTGTCGCGCTACGCGCTCAAAAGCGCGACTTGTGAGCAAGTCCACCTCGAAAACGCGATTTTGGTTGAGGTTTAATTTGGTTCTACAAAACTTCGTCAGATGAGATCCACGTGGGTGCGCTTCCAGATTTGTTATCACGAGAAGTTCATTCATTCATTCAGGGTTTTACAGATACCAGCACTATTTTCTTTGTTGTTGTTAATGCATTCTTGATAGTTGGACTTGGCTTCTTTCGCTTCATTTGTTTTACACCTGAGTTTACGGTATGTGGACCAGTTAGCAGGAGATTTGGACTTTACTGCTTTTTTTTATGAAAATGATCTCCAGCTAGCATCCGTTTAGAGAGTTCCGGAGTCATTCAGACCGGGATCAAGATGAATAAGAGCGCTTCTCTTACGTTGAACTCGACACTGACGTTTCTACATAATACTTCTTTTCCTTTGGGGAGGGGGACTTCCTTATTTGGCCTAGATACGTATGTGCCGCCACATTGAGTTTTGATTGGAGCTCTAATATCTTATTAGAGCTGTTTTCACTCACCCTTCCCAATCGCTCATCAGCTGCGGGCTTCAGACTCAAGAATAACTCATCTATTTAAGACAAGAATATTTTAATTCCTTGTTTCTCTCAGTTTATTCATTGCTTACAATATCTTTGAAGCTAATCAGTTTTCACTTATATTTAATGGTTAGGAAGTTTCAAAGTTAAAAACGTAAACAAAATGTATTTCATCTTTTCGAAAAATAAGCCGAATAATGATAAATAAAATGATAAATTTTACCACTCAGGTACGACCTTACACATCAGGTGAGGTGATACAGCTAGTCATCATGTACTCAATAAAAATAAAAAAGTTTATGTCCAACACTTTTGACTTGTAAAATCTAAATTTCCAATGGATACACTGCCCCCCCCCCCACCCCCCACTAAAAAAGAAATAGGACTCTAATTTTGACTGCAAAGGCATGGACCACACCCTAATGGCCTGGTGACCTCTCCTTACAGGAACAGGGCTTCCAACGTTTCCCTTGTGACCAGTTCAGTAAAAATATCGTTGGCCGTTAAGTTAACCAAACACAACATGAGAAATTCAATTCTTTTGGAGAACCTACACGAATTAGTTCAATTTCAACCTTAAAGTTAGAGCTTATTGATGAACATGCCAAAACATCACACATTTAATAGAGGATCTCAATGAGGTGATTACTATTACGATTTTTGCCCGATTTTCGGTTAGGTCAATATTCGTGGTCACCAGACGTTTTTCTACGGTTAACCTTCTTATCTTATCTTATCATGGTTACCCATTAAAAAAAATTCAGTCTACGCTATATCTACGATTACAAAAATGGAGCACCCTGAATTCTCTTCAGTACAAAAATAGGAAAGCGTTCTTATAATAATTTGACTACGTTTAATCTCCAATTGTGATACACTCTTCCTATTATTCTTTACTACAATTTAGGAAACAGTACTTTACAAGTTAAGCATATTTGTAACAAGTATTAAGATGCCAGATTTGTTTACATGGTAAATGCTAATGATGCTAGTTTCCTTCGTAATGAGCCTTGCTCACCATAGAGTATGTGTGGCTCGGTGGTAGAGCATCGGAGCGCAGAATCCAAAGGTCTGAGGTTTGATTCCTCATGGGGACTCAGAATTTTTTCTTAGTCCCAGGCTCGAGACAAGACAAACGACATCTTTCTCTAAGATGCTAATTTTGAGACACAACTCACAGTGTGTCTCAGCATTTCCTAAACTTCTATCTGTGCCAAGTTCTCTCTTTTCCAATGTGGAAATTACTCATATTTATCGAGAAAAAATTGCTAGAAAGATCTCTCCAGTTTACATCAAAGGAAATGCAACATATTCACACCTAGTGTGACTACAAACAGGACTGTATAAGCAGCTCACATCCTAGCTCATTAAACTACAAAATGATGATGAAAGCCATCTTTTTTACCCAAAAAAATGCAAACTACTTTGAAGCTCAAATCCGAAAAGGGGTCAAGTGTTACTATCCAATAAAAAAATCGCGATTTTAGCAGATGGTTAAATGAAGCTACAATCATAACAAATCAAACTTTTCCAATCTCATCCAAGGGACGTATATTATATTCACCATGTTCTCTTAACCTTTTTTGATCGTTTAAGAACTTCATTGGAGAGGGCAGCACACTGAAGCTTTGGATTAAAAAAATAAAAATAATAATCCTTAAAATGTATTCCCTCGGTTTACGAAGAAAGTTCTCTGACCTTACAGTTCTGACGGATTTCCTTATTAAGAAGAATGGCCTGGCTGACCAGCAAGTTCTGATTAGTGATAAGCTTCCTCAGTTTAAGATGACCCAGACACCTACTCGTCGTTTAAGTCAGAAACTGACCCAGACTCCTTCTTGTCGTCTGAGTCAGAAACTGAACCAGACTCCCACTCGTCGTCTGAGTCAGAAACTGAACCAGACTCCCACTCGTCGTCTGAGTCAGAAACTGAACCAGACTCCTTCTCGTCGTCTGAGTCAGAAACTCTACCAGACTCCTTCCACTTCCAATATTCATCTGTTGGCCAATCTTTCTCAGGTTTGACATTTCCTTTCTCATCCTGTCATGAATCACAAACCAACACTAAGTATCATCTCGTCATACAACAATCACTGGTCATCAATTACCGGTGAAGATGCCAAAAATCAAACTTGTTTTCCACAGATACTTTTCATTGTAAGAAAAGCTATGTCTTGAGTCTCGTTGACAGAGTCATTTAACAAACGTTATTCTATTGAGAAACGTTTCATGTGAGGCAAGACCACAAATTTTATCAAAATTTGAATATTTTCCAATTTACACCCACGTTGGGGTTCGTACTAATTACAAGTTATCGACTAACTTTTCCGGACATATCCATTTTAAATTCATAAATTTTATTTTATATGGTTACGAAAAAATTATTAACTGATAAAGTTTTCTTCGTTTTCACATCTATCTACCAAGGGCAAAAAATAAAGGCTATTTCTAAAGATGTGGGAGCATATCTGCAGGAGGGATCAGTAAATTGAAAATGTCTCTTTTTTAAGAACGAGTCTCTGTAAAAATCAAACATCTTGGGAGATGAAAATGTTCAACATCCGTTCAAATTTTGCATGCAACTAGGCACTCAGTGGGGATGCACAAAAATGCCCTTTCTAAAGGTTGCAGCCTTTTTGTTGCCATGGTAACAACGGCTGTTTGTTCGAGGCCTGGAGCCTCAATTCATACAAAAACATCGCAAAAAAAGTGTAAAATGTTTATATCTCTATCTCAAGCTAAATACAACGCTACAAATTGGTACTTCGACCATAAAGAGCGACATCATTCGTCTTCACTTTAATATATTCAATTTTCCCTGGGAGAGGATGTGAACACACCAATAGATTTTTTATCTCGGTACAGTTTCGGTCATTTTTGTTGTAAGATAAAACAGGGAAAACGTTTATCTAAATTTCTCTAAAAGTACACCAATTCTGGAACTGAAATTAACCACCTAGTTGGTTACAATATTCTAGTTTTTAAATATGTAAAAATCTTTGCGGGCCGGCTTCTACTTTTCATAGGGGCAATTCGCGAACGAAGCTCAAAACTCACTGAGATACTGCATAATTTGGCGATGTTTACATCTAATGTTCTCAACTAAACAAACGTTTCAGACAAATGCGTCGTGCAAGGCTTTGAAAGAATGTTATCTTATAAGCAATATCCCGAAGAGAATCTCGCCTATGGCTATCATCTTTTAAAAAATTGATAAGCCTTCACGAAGGACTACTCGACGCAACTACAAACATATACCTCACATCGTGCGCATATCATCCAGATTCCGAGTGCTACAACTTCATTCATGGGAATTTGAGCAATTCAAAATCCTCTGAATATACACTGTTATACTTGTATGTCATTTGAAACATGTTCAAGTCGGCTGATCTACACGAAACTATTTTATCACCGATCATTTGCCCTAAACATGTACATTATCACGATGGCGTAACGCTGTATGTCTCCATGAAGTTTCCATCGGTCGCTCCAAAGAAGACGAGAAATGGACATTTTCGATATTTTCAGCAGATTTGTGAAGTAAAAACAACCGAAAAAAAAAAGAAACAGGAAAATCACAATTGAACGCTCGTAAAAACTGAGAATCTGAGAGCTACTTCCAGGAGCATAAATCGCAAACTGTCAGCGGTAGTAATCCATGCAAAACCTTGTTGCAACGATAGCAATTTGAACAACCCAGTATCTCCGTAGTACAGCAAATGAAACAGGGATTTCATCACAAACAATTTCCAGAGATTTAACATTCTTACAGGGAGTCTTTTACATGCTCAAATATTAAATTGGCTTTGAGCCTTGAGATTTATTCCTCTTGATAATAAAATGCTACAGTAAGTGCCCACAAAATTACAAAGGTTCTTTTTTTGGTTTCACTTGGACCGAGGAGTACAGATTTGAATTAGTGCTGTCACTGATTAACCAACGGGCACAATCTTCTCAGTTATTAGCTTGATAATCTCCACAGGCTAACGTTATTGGTCCGAACGATCTCCTTTTTCTTCCTGGTAACCCAGCCACCCCAGGGGGGAAATTAAAGACCTTTGATTTCTTCTGGAGTAAATTACCGGGAGATTGCGTTATATTCATCTTTCTTAAGCTTGTAAGAGATATCCGGGAGAAAATTATGGAAAATAATCGTAATTAAATCGCTGTTCTCTTTCCTGAAGGACCTGAGGCCATCCAGATTACATATTAACCATGGGGAGTTTCGTTCAAGTGACGAGTTGCGATTTGCGTGTGGATAATGAGTAGTTTGAAAGGTGGAATTACGAGATTATGATTTCATTTTATCTTTATTTCGCACTTTGTCATCACATTTTCTTTATCAAGACATAGAAGGAAACATTGACCGACTCGATTGCACTGCGGCGGTGATAAGTCTCTCCTCATCACATCTTGTGCAAATTTTCTAACAGTTTTCTCACAGCTTTCAGATGATTCGAAATACCTCAATTCCTGTCCCTAGGAAATGACAACTGCCCGAAACCGCTGCTTTTTTTTTGCAACTGGGTTTTACATGGAGTACTACTGCTGACAAGTTGCGATTCATGCTCTCAGATTCTCAGTTTTTATTAACGTTCAATTGAGGTTTTCCTGGTTTTTGTTGTTGTTGTTGTTGTTGTTTTTACTTCAGAATGCGCAGAAATCTGCTGAAATACCGAAAATGTCCATTTCTCGTCTTCTTTCCAGCGACCGAAGGAAACTTCATGGAGAAATACAGTGTCATACCATCGTGACAACGTACGAGTAAAGACAATTGATTGGTGATAGGATAGTTTCGTGTAGATCAGCCGACTTTAACATGTTTCAATGTTACTTTATCAGGCAAAAATAAATGCATTTATTGCTATTATTATCATTACAATTATTATTATTATTATTATTATTATATTTATCATCAACATTATTTTCATTATCATTGTCAAAATACTGAAATGCAAGAGAGCCAAAATGCTAATTTTCCTCCGAATCAAGCTTGAATTTGCTTACATCTCCACCTAAAGTCTCCGAAGGACAACTAGACATAGAGTGTGACGAAACGATTGATGAGAACCCATTCGCCGAGGTGCCAGGGTCCTTGCCGGGATTCTCAACTGTGGGCACGCCGCAATCGATTGTTTGGGGTCAATCGGAAGAAAAAGTGATAGCAGTCGAATCTTCAGAAATCATCAAAGCGTATAATGAGATAACCTCTTGGCGCAAAAACACCTCCCTTGGTTTCCGTACGGGAAAATTGGCAGAGAATTTATTAATCAACTTACAAAGCACATAAATGACTGGAACAATAGGGCGGACAGTCAACATGTAGCTTTAAAAGTGGCCTCTGTTCTCCTGGCGCCAGGGCTGCAAAAACGAAGTCAAAAGTCAAAGGCAAGGGATCATCAAGAATACTTAGCGAAGAGGTTAACACTGTGGAGAGATGGTAAAATAGCTGAGGTGTTACGAGAAGGGCGAACGATCCAGAAACGCCTGGTAAGATCCTATCAGAAAAGAGATCCTCCGTATAAAGCAAAAATATTTGCGAAACTCGCCATGAAGGCCAAATAAACTCGACCTTACGATAGATAACTGACGATGGCTGTGGAGGTGTATTACGGTTTTCGCGTTTCCAAGATGATTAGAAAACAGACTTCAGCCTTCTTCGGACGTAAAGAACCTTCTTTACGATGGGTTCTCATCTTAACTTTGAATTTACTTACTTCCAAGCTCAGTGAAAGAATAAATGGTGGCAAAAAGAGTGAATGTAGATGTTTCTATTTCTGGAAGCCTTTTCAGTAATTTAGAATGTAAAATCTTTTAATTGAATTAATCAGAATCACCGGAAAAATTCAACATTTCCTTTGCTTTGGATTTCCTCTCCCATTTTGGCATCCTTTTAAAATTTAATGAACGCTTCCTTGTAAAGCAGCTACCACTGATACTAAAGCTCCGCCGTGTTTGACAATTCAAGTAGGAAGAACATTTCTGTACACCTTTTGATCTTTCCGGCGATTCCAGCTCAACTTTCCACATTATGTAATGGTCCATTACCAAATGACGAATATGGAAGATTCCGCAAAAAATAAGCTGACTAATTTTATAAAACCCTTTTGATGTTCATCGTGAACAGCATTCTCAGTTCTGTATAAATACAAAAAAAAATCTCATTTTTTAACGGACTTGAAGTCAAAGTGATTTGAACACGCCGAGAAACTTATGCAAGGTGGTCTGTACTCGGAGTTTTTTCCAGAAAAACAGCAAAGAGCAAACAACGAAGCGACAGCCACGTAAACAGCGAAATGCAAATAGATTTGAACACCGTGGTATCTACACATGTTCTATGAAAGAAGTCAACGCAATTCAAAATACATTTAAACTAATTTGAACTGACTAGCGGTGACCTTTCGTGAGAAAAACTCTAGTCTTGTTCTGTAAAAGCAAACGAAATATCACACTCGTTCCGCGAGCCGAGGTGGAAAAAAATTTTAAAACAAAACCACAGCTAATTAATCAGAATATACATGAACAATGGCTACAAATGCAAACGAAGATCACAAACTTACGTGGTAACTTGTATCGAACGGGATGTTACTCTGACGTGCAGCTGCACTCAGATCATTCACTTGTTCCTTTGTCATTTTAACATCACAAAGCTCCAGAAGGTCCAGGTGAGAAACATAGCTGAGATGTTGACTGAGAAAATTTACTCCTTCACCAAGAGGGTTACCTGACAGTGCAAGCACCCTCAGGCTAGGAGCCTGGTGCAGAGATCTGACGATGGCTTCGGCAGGTTTGGCTGTCAAATTGATCTCACAAAGTTCTAACCTATCAAGTCTGTCGGTGAAGATGATACCAGACACCAGGGTCTCTGTCAACTGAGCATCATGGGTTTCAAAGGGTTTACCACCAATAACTATTTCTCGCAGAGAAGAGCAAATTGGTAATAAATTAACTAACACCTCCATCTCTTGCTTTTCTATGTCAAAAACATAAATATTCCTCGTACAGGAAAAGCTGTGTGGAGTCCGACCAGTGATACTATCAATTTTCTCAGTCGAAGACGAAGCTGTTTGGTTGTCATGTTCATTCAACGGATCACCGAGGCACTTCCGCTGAGTAGACTCTGCTGTTGATGAAATCAACTCTCGCAGCATTTCAAACAGAGTAACATCATCACTTCCCTCTCTACGTATTTCACAGACATAAAGGACAATTTTTCCTTCTTTCTTCAAGAAGAAATCGTCCAAAAATTCATGCGAATACTTCATTAAAAAATCAGCGGCTTTCTTTTCGCCCGAACAGCTCAACACAACAGCGTTTGTGTGTTCCGCTACAGTGATCAAGTCTCGATGGCTTTTCTCTGAATTCCTTTCATCGTTAAAGAAAAAGATGAACTCGGGTATCACGGCACAGTTCAGCAACTGTTCATTTGCAACAATGTTCAGCTGGTTAGAATCAAGAGGCAAGATACCACCAGTGAGAGATAAAAAGGTGGATAAGAGATCTCGCCGTTTCTCGACCGAGCAACAAAAATAACTGTGTGAAATTAGCTTTAGATACTGTTGTAGATCCTTAGGGAGGTCTTTAATCGACTGAAGCGGCTCAATGAATTTAAACTCCGACAAAGATTCCTTTCTTCCAACAGATTCAAGATGATGGAAAACTGTGCACGCTGCTTCTGTTGACAGCTCACAGGCAAATTTGAGAACTTCATTCATCTTGAAGGACTTTTCAAGTGAGTCAACTTTGGACAAGCTAAGCGTACTGTCTCCTTCAATCGAAAGCACTTCCTCCTTAATATGCCAGGCTGCAAGGAACTCCTGTATGGATTTATGAATGAAATAGGCCCCTTTCTCGCGATTCAGACTCGTCATGTTGACAATCTGGAAAAGTCCAACTTCAGTAAGTTTTTCAAAAGTTCTTGAAATACTGTCGGCGAGTTCGCTGCAGCGTACGTAAAGACGGTCTTGTAGCAGTGCATCGAAGGCAACCTTTCCAAGATTGCTGAGATCTTCTGTAGCTTCTGTTGAAGTCACTTTCTGAAATGGTATAGGCTGTTGACTTTCATCTTTGTGATCTACCATAGTTTGAATAAATTGCGTGTAAATGTTGGCCCGTGCTGTTGGCAGTCCTTCAGGACGTTTCTCTTTGCACAAAAGGCACAGCATTACTAGGAGGAGAGGTATCTCTGCCATGTCGAGGAGATCTTTCTCCCTTAAGTAGGACATGAACTCTTGAATATCCTCGCCTGCCAAAAACTTTCTCGCAAAGGATTCGATTCGTCCCCAGCCTTTGAAACCGCCAATTTCAAACTGAACGTGGCTGGGGCCTCTTATCTCGTCACATTTAATTTGTCGCGTGGAGACAATGACGTGACAATCTCTTAGTTGCTCGCCCTTCCAAATTTCAAGGATGGGTGAGTGTTCTTTTGCACAGCTGTACTCATCAAAGCCATCCAAAATGAAAATCACTTTATCTTGATGGTTAATTATGTAATCATAAAGACTGTCAACTGAGATCGGACCATCACCGGCCAGCAGTTTAGACGCAAGTAAAACATTACGGATATCTTCCAAATCACAAACATCTCGCAACTTAATCAGAAGCAAAATGTAAAAGTTCATCATGATTTCTTTTAAGGATTTCGACCAGTCATATGCAGCCTTTTTACAAAACGTACTCTTGCCAATTCCTGGCCGACCATAAACAAGAATTCGTGTTGGGTTTCCCTTGAACATGTCGGTGTAGTCTTCAAGTACCTCTTGTCTCACTCCACTGGGCTTCCTGTGATCTCTGACCCAACGCAAAGGTGTGTAGATCTCATCAATCTGAATGGAAGAGCTGTCGTCCCATGGAACGATTTTGACTTTACTGAAGGTACGATAATAAGACTTTAGCTGCTCTTGGCAATTCTCGACATTCAACGGTTCTGAAAAATGAAAATTACAGAAGCAAACTTTTAATGAAGGAATGAAAATGTATACGACGCCAATGAAATGGAATGAAAAACTTTATTTAAGTGTCTATGTTTTTAGCTATAAGCTAATGGGGGTTTTTCAATACCACACGAAGTTTCAATACCAAGTTTCCAATACCACACGAACTCGAGCAGTTCTTTTTTTTAAGCATAAATGGATCAAGAGTACCGCTACTCTCTCCGGATGGAATACAATTTTATCCCTACTCTCCGCATTGTAAAAGCAGACACTCGTCTCTTTAACTTTCCTATCCTTAGAAGATCCTCTTAAATCGTAAAGATGAAATTCCTAGTGTTTATTCCATCATCGATCATGAATGTTCAGAAATCAAGTAGCCAAAGTAACAAAAAAAACTTTGTAAATTTTTCTCCTTAATTTATGCGGAGTATAGCTTCTTCAACAAGAAAAACATTTGAGTATAAAAAAGGAAAAGGAAAAGTAAAGATGTTTTACTGTCATTTCACAATCGTTGGGCGAAAAATAAATGTTGAGTACTCATCAGTAATAGAACCTCAGACCTACGAACTCAGCGCTCCGACACTCTACCACTATAGGTATGGTATAAGTTATTAAAAGTAACCTGAATATAAACTTTCTTCACTTGCTAATTATAATACCTGGAAGCCTTCGTCGTTTGTTTTCTGAACGATCATCCTGTTTACAACTCTCCTCTCCTGCTGAAATGTCTGCAAAAGTGAAAAGAAAGTCAAACTTCTCTCAAAGGTAAAAATAATTTTCACAACAATCACAGAAATGGGTAACAAGCAGGAATCGAAATGAACCCTAGAGGAAAATGAAAATCTCATGTGAGCCCGCTCACGGAATAAAAGAGAGAAGAGAAATTGATGGACTTGGATAATTGAAACTTATTAGGAGGTACACAAAAGGAACGAAATGAACTGTGTATAGAGTGCAAATGTCCAATTACCAAGATACTCCGGAAAAAAAAAACAATAAGTTGGTAACATCGGGTCAAATTGGGTCAAGATCAGAATTCTATTGTTACACTCACTCACAGTACTCTCTCATTCACTCATCGCGACAACATATGTTTTTCCCCTAATTTATTTTTTACACTACTATTTTGGCATTACCCCTCATGTCTCTGATCTGTCCCCGCATCTGTCTCTGTCCTATTATGTGTCGCCGACTCTGTTTCAATTCAGTTCTCTCAGAACGCAAATGTACTTTACTTATAATTGTTTGAATTTTTTCCATTTTTACATTTACAACATCCCTATTCTCTAGCGCTTTGTGATCGCCTCGTTCGATGGGGGTATTGCCATGTCCTCCGTTATGCCCCGTTCTTCTCCGATTCATGTCGATGACTTGAGCGTATCCCTTTTTTGCTGAGATTCGAAACTACTAAATCAAAAAGACCTACTCCTACCATATCGGTACCAGGGTAAAGTTTTGCGAAGTAGGTGTCGAGAGCTGAGATTGGCTGTAATTAACCCATCTCAATTTTCAAGGCTCACGGAATGTGCAACATTTCGTAAGCTAACACATGTTCTTCTGTATTTTAAAATGCAAGATAAAAAGCTTGGATTCCTTATTTTGTGCTTCGCAACCCGTGAGGTAAATTGAATTTTGCAAATCTAAAACAACTTGAAACTGCCATGGATCTGAGCGTAAATTTCGTGTAACCTGAAAATTATTTTTCACTGATTTTATTGCCAGGAAACACTCTGTAATACCTCCCAAATGACAAGTTCTTTGCCCAGTCATTGGCCCCCGATCTTCCAAGGTTTGAGAAGTACACGATATTCATATAACTTCTATAAACTATCCTCTGCGCCATCTAGCTGGGGTCTTTTCTATAACCTTCTTCATTTAAAAGACCTACAAGCGTCAAGAGCTGAAAGTAGGATCGAGAGCTACTCACAACTGCACTGTATAAAACTAGGTCAGTTAATACGAATCATATCGTCAGTTTTGCGCACAATAAAGGGGAAATTTTCATTTTCAAATTAACATACGCCTTTCTTATTTTAAGCAACGTGGTAAAGTATTTTGCGGACAAGCCTCGTAAGTAAATTTCGCATGATTGCGTGGCGTGACAGTATATCCATGAAGGTTCTAAGCGGTTCCTTTCAGTCCTTAAGTCTTGAAAAATCGATGAAAATAACATTCCACCCGGTTTATTATGTGTGCTTTCGAAAATACATTATTTTTTACCTATTTTTAATCTAGCTGGAAGATGGTCGGATAAATTCAATTAGATTGTGTAAATAAACAATCAAGAATTACTCAAATTGCTGTCAACCTGTGTTTTGATGTTGTTTTCCAAGTTTTGGTACTTTTTATCGGTCCAAGTGTTTTCAATTCGTGGCGCGACGCTCCGAAATTTGCTTGAAATTTTGAGCTTCTAAAGCGGCATTTTGGCGGAATTCAGTTATTATCGACTTTCCCTAAAATAAATCGATATTTAGCAGAATGAAGTATACAGCGGTTTGTTCTACTGTAAGGCCCACCTTGAAAAGTGAGCTGAATCGATTTTTTGGCTGTTGCCACGATATTTCGAAAATGTTCGATTTTTGGTCACATTTCCTCTTAAAGGATTAAACACAAATCAACACTCTGACTATAAGATACAATGAAATATATGAAATATATGAAATACAACGAAATATATGAAGTTCATCCCGTACAGGCCTGATTTTTTTCAGGTCTGATTTTCGCTATTGCTTACATAGCGCTACCTACTGCGAGGATCGTGCTTCATATGTACTCTGACTATAATAGCAATTTACAATACAAGCCCGTAAAAATTAATCACGAGAGTAGCGAAAGCGTTTTAAAACAAAGAGTCACAAGCGAAAAAGATAAACAAAAGCCAGCAAGTTAATTAACTAGAATCTTTGGCTCTTACTAAGGTCTTTACAACACTAGCAGACAAGGTAAGTATGTAATCGTGGCTCACCACGAACTGGAATAAGAACATTCTACTGACAACAATCATTCAATTGACTCTGATGATGACTTCCGCACAGGTTGTCGAAATGTCAGTCACTACCACCGACAACAGTCCTTCTCAGGACTACACTCACCCGGACGATCACACTACACCTTCACAAGAGTTTTTTCTAAGTAGAAGGCGAAGAGATGTTACTCATTCTTCAGTGAAATGTAAAAGATAAATTTCTGAAGAGCGTGCACCAATGGAATAGGATGTGGTTCCCAGGCTCTACGATCTACACGTAAGCTCCTTCTTCATCTACTTTAGCTGCTTAGGGCAGTTAAGCAGCTGAAGATGTTTACAAACTTTGGCATACTAAAAAGTTCCTTTGTCCTCGAGAGACCAATTTTTTGCAGTTTTCTGGTGTGCACCGGCTGGGAAAAATTCGCCCACTAAAACAATACAAATCTTTTCAGGAAGACTATTTCAGAAGAAATCGAATACTCTCATTCAGTCTCAATCATGTTTTTGTGGGAGCTTTGCCAATATTTCTGACTATTACACTGAGCATTAAGTGTCGAGAAACTAGCGATTTTGGATATTTCATTACGTATAACACCAACGTAATTTGTTGGAATCCCTGGAAATTTCTAAATTAACACCTGATACTATCCAGAAGTTTGAAAGAATCTTGCCGTTAAAATTTTGAGAAAAATTGATGAGACTTTCCTATCTCGCTCTCCCTTTTTTGTTTTTCTGATTTTCATCAGTTGCCGTTTTGGTTTATTTTTTACAGCAACGTTGTTGTAATAGGGCGCATAAATACAGGCATGATGGACATTGAATTATAGGCAATTTCGAGACAATAAATTGTTGTTTTAAAATTAGAGCTAGTTAACCAAGATTTCTTGAGCCTGAGCTGAAAGAATTTGACACCCTGAGGCGTGAATAGTATGGACCAAGTGCAGAGGGCTCTGTTCCAAGTACTGACAGTATAGCGTTAACAGAGACAAACATTTAAGAGAATTCTAATAAAGCTGACCTGTCAGTCCCAGGGAAGGAGACAAGAAATATAAAAAAAATTAAGGAATCGATATTTTACGAAAATTATACCTTCTGCAGGTAACATCTCAAAATCCTCTCCTGGTGAAACAATGGAGCCTTGATTATTTTCTGATGTGTCTTTAAAGGAAAAATAAAATAAATGTTTTAAGAAAACAGTCCAAGTAAAATTGAATAATTCTCTGAGTTTCATAGGCAGCAAGAGCTGTTTTCATGCTTTGGGAGAGTTCAGAATCCCTGACTATATAAGGAAGCCCTGACCATATAAGGAAGCCCTGACCATATCTGGCCTCCCAAGCCTAGAAGTCAGGCGAGAAACATTAAGTAGGAACTTCATTGCGACATGGAAACTCCGCCCTCAAGCTAATGTTTATAATGTTCCTTATTATCTTAGATCTGGGCGTGAAAAGTCCGTTTGCCAGGAGGCAAGAACCAAGGGAGATAATGATTTTACAACTTCGATTTTTAAATTAATTATTGCGTAGACTATACATTACTATATTTTAATTACATTTAACAGTTTTGTAAATGATACCGCTTGATAATTCAGTTTGTACATAGTTTCAACTTTAAAGAATGGATTAAACGATATATTATTATTATTACTATTATTATTATTATTATTATTATTGGAAAAGCATGCAAAACTCTAAGGAGACAACGACATATACGCAATCTCCACTCGTTGAATTGTCCTCTTTCGTAATTGAAGCTGTCTTGTGACTGAGCTGAAAGAATGTAACATCCCGAGGTGTTTATGGTATGGCCGAAGTGCAGAGTGCTTTTGTTTCAAATTCTGACAATATATGGGGTTAATAGAGACAAACAGTTAAACTGAATTCTAATAGAGCTGACCTGTTAGTCCTAGGGAAAGAAGAATTAATATCAAATAATGAAGAAAATGTTATCTTAAAGAGGAATATACCCCTCCCATTTAACAACCCAATATCCTCTCCTGCTGAATCACCGATGGAACCTTCACTGTTAGCTGGGGTGTCTTAAATAAAAATTAACTACTTATTAATACCATGATTAAACCATACAACAGCTTTCTTTTCTATTGCAGAAATTAACTCTTACATTTTGTTTCGACAATAAACTCTTCAACAATTACAAATTTGAATACAAAAATGCTGACTCTAAACATACTGGTTTTTTGTCCGACTTCTTTGAACGCTGAACAACAACTGGCACTGATGCGACATATATTCAAATATTAATTAGTTAATTCTAGCATGCAGTGTTTTGTTTGGCCTTCCAAATGGACGGCCTTAATATTAATGGTCAAGCGCTCACCGGAAAACATTTTGTAAATCTTTTTATTTGTTTGATAAAACTTAATTGCTAGATTTATTTCACTAGAAAATCTTGTAAATCACAAATTACCTTCAGTATTGTCACCTTCCGGATCTCCAAGCAACTGCTTCAGAAAATGTTTCCTTGTGCAGAACAGGTGAGTAATTGCAACCACACAAAGAATGATAGAAATTGCCATGATTGCAATGATGCCAACGTTCAGCTTGGATTTTTGCTTATGATGCAAGTCATTGCAGGTTATATTCTTAATCTGGTTTGCTGGGATCTTTGTGCTGTTTCTCCGTGAACATGTGTACACTTCTGGAAAATTAATAGTCTGGATGACGCAGAAGACCACCATCATAGCCATGAGAACAACAATTTGAATGCACACATGGAATAAAAATATCCGTGTAAACCTTTTCCCCAGACTTTCCTTCCTTTCACTGTCTTGCTGCATTTTGATTTGCCGTCGGGCCAGGACACCATACAGAATGAATGCCATCCAGAAAAAGCCCTGGATTGAGACTGTTATGTAAGCAAAATCCAGGGGCACCAACAGTGGGCTGACCGTGGAGATGTAATCCCCATAGCAGAGTTGTTTAACGAAGTCACTGGGCTTAGGGTCACAATTGAAAGTCAATCTATCCTTATCAAGTAAGTCCCTCAGCAAACCAATTATTGTTGGCCAGGAGATCAGGAACAAAAGGAAATGTATAGCACCACAAACTGTTTGTGACTGGAGGGCAAGTTGAGAAAGATTATCCATTGCAAAGAATTATACAACTTTGAAGGTACAACTGAAAATGAGATGAAAAATCAACCAATGAGTAGACCATTAGACCATTCAAAATGGAAGAGAATGTACAAAGCCACTCACATGTACTAGGTCTGCAGCACCTCCACATAAAATACACACTGTAATTCATGGGAGTTGTAGTATTTCTCTTCCATATTTTGATACCAATTTCTACCTGTATAGTAACAAACCCATTAAGAGCCACCTCAAACAAACTACACTTTACAGGATTTGTGAAATAAAACTTACACTTGTTTGCTTAACACCCAATATTGTGCATAACATTTTCCAACAGTAATAACACAAACTGTCCTACTAATCCATAATCTTATAATGGCCTTAAAATAATAAAATAGAAGTGACAGATTAAAAGGCCAACTCACTGAAAAAGCCCTGTCTGGCATAAAATGTTGTCTACTTTTCTCAACTATATCAAAAACTGCCTTTCTTGGGATATTAGAAATGCATATCAAAACTATGTAAAAATTCAAAACCAAAAGCATATTAGACTATAATTTTAAAGGTAGTCTATCTTACCAGTTTAACTCCCTTTTTTTTCTCTCTTTCATTGAACCTCTCTGACATACAGGTGTAGGTATCCTTGTACTCAACAGGTACAGAGGTAATGATCTGTGAAATGTAGCCCAACTTTCCTACTATAGAGAAAAAACAACCACAGTCTTTCCAAATTATGATGCATGTACATGTATACATAACTTAAAAATAACAGACTTAAAAATAAATGTTATTTTGAAGACTTTATGTCTATGGTAATAACATGCTAATAAAAGTATATTCATGTGAAGGTGTAGTCTGATTGTCTGGGTGAGTGTAGTCCTGAGAAGGACTGTTGTCGGTGGCAGTGACTCACGTTTCGACAACCTGTGCGGAAGTCATCATCAGAGTCAAGTGACATACAGTAATGACAACAATCATTCACTTGACTCTGATGATGACTTCCGCACAGGTTGTCGAAACGTCAGTCACTGCCACCGACAACAGTCCTTCTCAGGACTACACTCACCCGGACGATCAGACTACATCTTCACATGTTACCCCCGGGTTCAAACCATTTACTGCAAAAGCATATTCACTTTGTGGCTAGGAATTAACACTGAGGTGTGGCTTTTGTCCAGTTGATGTTAGGCTCACGTCTGGTTCAAATGTCAGGCTAACCTGGCTCTTGTCCAGCCAGACATTTTTGTATTGGAATTAAATACAACTACCTTTTTAAGATCATATAAATTGTCATTTCTAACACAAGAAACAGTCCAAGAGGAAAGTTGAGTGCATATAATAAGAAACAACTTCAGTAAGAACAATAAATTTCTTCATCTACTGTAATTTTAGTTTGTCATTTAAAATTGATAATGGCAATTGATTGATTGATGAATGTTATCACATTGACATCAATAGAATATGGTATATGAAAATTACAGAGTGACGCTAAAAAAAAACATGACTAATATAAACAAGGTCCATCATGAGAGTTAGATCATAAAATGAACATGAGCTCACATCACATGACAATATGAGACCACCATCCCAACAAAAGATGGTTGAATGGGTATTGGAAGCTTGGAACAAGCTACCCATGGTAGTAATATCAAGAAATCGTTTGAGATTTGAGTGTTATCATCTTCCCTCGACGGATCACAGGACAATCAATTAGTGTGCATTTAGCATAGTCCATGTCAAAGCCTACTACCAAAATTACAAGCATGTCAGTTTGATCAAGAAGAGATGGAAGATCTGCTTGAAACTATTTCACAAGAAGACATGGCACTGGAAGACATGGCACCTCTAGTTTTGGATGAAGATGATGAAATCATTCACGTTGAACTGTAATCGAGCCTTACTGGTATGATGAAGTGTTTCATTATTGTTGTTCATTTGACTTTAGTTTGCTGTTTGTTGTGTTTCTACTTAACTGATTTACAAGATGATTATGACAAATCATACAACTACATCAGACCTTACAGAGGATATTGACTCTGCCAATTTGGTAACTGAAAAAATGCAAAATGAGAACAATTTTTGAATAAATATGTTACGTCATATCCTATTGTATCCTGTTGGTGAACATCGGGATAAATTAATGAGCAGCCCCTCTCTAATAAGCCACTCCCGCAAGTACCTGAAATATATAAGCCCCCTTGGGGGATTATTAGAGGATTTACGGTAGATATGATGGCTTCTATTTTTGAAAAAAAAAATTAATAATTGTGTGTCCTTGATATAAAACTTGTTTCCCAAAGCCCCAGCTTAATTTATTTGAGTTTTGTTTTAGGAGAATGGTTCACTTCTCAGAACTGATATTATTTCTGAGAACAAACATCTGATTCATGGCAAGTGAGCTAAATGCATATCAGCTATTGTAAGCTAAATAATTATGCACCTGCAATAATTTCCAGATTCAAATTGTAATTGAAAGTGTAGATGTCAAAACACAGATAGCCAGCCAGACTTACTACAGTCTCATGTGAGTGTAAGGCCAGTAGTGAATAAATAGGAAAGTAATGTTTGAGATATTTCGTCTGATCACAGGTGTCACTGCCAAAAATTGCACAAGATCGTCATCATTATTACAACACTTCATACTGCAATAAAATTAACAAAATCTTGAGCAAGGAGTCTCAGAAGCCTTTTTTTGGCTTATCTGGGAGACCCCCTTTGCTACTTGATAAGATATCACGACAGGACAGAAAACGTGTGCACTGTAAGTACCTCCCGTTGTCTCATACAAAGCCTTAGAAAACTTTTCTAAGGCTTTCTATGAGACAACGGGAGGTACTTACAGTGCACACGTTTTCCGTCCTGTCATGGTCTGATGGTCAAAGATTTACAGATTCTGTACATTGATTTCCATTATATATTTTAAATTGGCATTGAATATACTTCTACAAACTATTCCTGAGAAAATTAATTTTCAATTTTGCTTAAAAGTTGATTTACACTAGATATGTTTTAAATCAATTGGTAAATTGTTATATATACCTGCTCCATTAAAACTAATGATTAATTTTCTGGATTTTTTTTAACACAAAGCTCTTTGAACGAGTGTTGTGGTTGTGAACTTCTTCTTGAAAATATTCTTCAATGAGATGGGTAATTAATTGACTGTTTGAAAATTTACTCAAGACATAGCAGTGGTGTAACAATTGACTTGATAGATAGATAAATAGATAAATTTATTTCAATTCGAGATGTGCAATGAGCCAGCAAGTCATACTAAATACATTTGAATATATAAAATTCTACATCTACAGTTAACTAAAAATATACAGATACTATATATTAAAATAATGAGAATATAAATTACTTAATATAATATACTTCCTACAAAAGAATGCATTTATGTGGTAACATGGTTTCTAGTAACTAGTAAAGTATTATTACTTGTGATAAATATACTAAGAACATATGCTTAACATGAAGAACTGGTAATGTAGAACAGCGTCGTGGTAAAAATGCGAGAAATAAATACCAAAAAAAACAAAAACAAAAACAAAAAACAAAAAAAAAAACCAAAAAGAAGAAAGGAAAGAAAAAACTTCAGTATCTTTAGTTTAACAAATCATGGTTTTGAGCTGTGACCGAATTTGTACAACTTTCTGTTGTAGTGTATATATTTTCCCAAGATGGATTGATATGCACTAGCCCAAAATAAATTGCCAGGAAAAATATAGGGGTAGATCAGGACAAAGTAAATTGACTTCAGTAACTGTATATAGTTACAAAATGTTGCACTTTGCATAATATTCCCTTGAACCTTGATATTTTGTATGCACCAAAATTAAGGTATTCTTTCCTTTTTAATACATGTAGGTTTTGAACTATCATTCCAAGAAATTTTGTGCTTTTACTTGCTTAGTGTACTGATCTTTGATTTTAACAGTTTGGTTCTTTCAGTAGATTTTGTTCCTTGATTATTTCAACAGCATAAATTGTGTTTTTATAAGATCAACTGATAGTGTCTTTAATTGAAGCCAAGTATTGATTTTCACTAGTTCTTTGTTCATTTTATCCACCAGCATGTCTAGATTTTTATGAGAAATCAATAAATTTGTATCATCGGCAAAGAGAGTGAAAGATAATAGATTTGAACTGTTACAGATGTCATTGATATAAATTAAAAGCAATAGAGGACCAGGGACTGATTCTTGAGGGACTCTGCACATCATTTCTTTTTTCTCTGATAATTCATTGTTGTATCTGACACACTGATACCTTTTTGTCATTTAAGTTTTTAAACCATTCCAATGCAATTCCTTTTATTCTGTAAAATTTTAGCTTTTGAAGTAGCAAGCTATGATCAACTACATCAAATTCTATGTTATCTTTAGCATTCGTTATTTTCTTTTACATGTATTAGCTCAATAAGTGTAAAATTTGCTGAGTGACTTCTCCTGAATAATGGTAATTTATTCCCTTTTACTCTGAGGTTAACGCTTGTAATTTCCAGAGGAAATTTACCAAGTGTTTATAGTTTTATGGGATCAAGTGATGAGAGTACTCAGTATCAATTAATTCAAAAACAGTATTTGAGTTTAGGTTTCGGTAAACATTTCCCAAAACATTAATGGTAATTAAATCACTTGAACCTCGTTCATTCAACTGACAACTTGTTTGAGATATATATCTCCTTGATTAACAGTGCCTCTGTGTACCTCAATAACATAACAGTGCCTCTGTGCACATCCACAGTTTCTAAAATGTGTTAATTAGTATCAACAGTCAAAATTATCAAATAAAAATCCAACTGATGTGCTCATAATACACCCTCCAAGCCTGGTTAACTCTTTTAAGCAATAAATCCTACCTCGGTTTAAAGTAAATAACTTAATATAAAATATAAAGGTTTACCAAATAAAAGGAAATAGTTATGTGTTTTGTTATGTGTACTGTAGAGCAACATCAAGGGTATTCGACGGATATAATCTAAAACAACGGTCCGTTAATTAGGAAGAAATCGTACGCACATGACTAGTGAAATATAAAATGAATCAAACCTCCCTATGGTGTGGGAGGGAGGCCGAGGAATATGAGCTAGAAATAAAAATTAATTGTTGCTTGCTTGCTTGATGGCTAATAATACGTATACCTAAGCGGTAAAATACTTAAATATTTTCGCAATAAAAATGAGCTAGCATGGGACATACCAGTAGCCATTAGTTCTTTCCAAGTCTCATGCATGACTTGCACGCTGAACGAACTGCTCAATTTAGGAAAGACAACCAGGTAACCTGCCTGTACCCAATCTGAATCTCTCCGTCATCGATTTCTAGAATCATGATGGAATTAATATTCACTTTCAATTAAGGTTGTCTGACAGGAACCAATATCCTCCACGATTGCTCTTTTTAATTCCAAGAAGGTTCATATCGATCACAACTTGTACAAAGAAATTTAACTCGTGCATGCTATACTCAAAGTAGTTCAATCGAGTTAGGAAAGAAATTAAATGATCACGAATTCACGCTAACAGTATGTATTGATATCACAAAGGTTGCGGTAAGAGATCGGTGGACATGTGAAGATTAAGAATGAAAAAACACATACCGTATATTGAACGAGCTCTATGAGCTCCTTGACGCTACGTGGGTAAATAAAGTATTGATTGATTGATTGATACCTTAACAGGCTTTCTCTTGCGCAGAAGTGTCAGGAACGGCAGGTGAAGTTCTTTACTGTTTTCCTTAACTGAGCTGACGGTTCTCGCAAAAGTTTACATTTGATGTCGTTGATGTAATACTGGTTGATCTTCAGAATTCTCAATGAGTATATGATTGCTAAATTAAAAGCGGATTAACTTACAACACACCACTAACAACCCTTCCTCAAAAATCTGCTTGCCCAGGCACCTTGCTGGTTCCCATGACTCTCTACGACCGTTCGAGAGGAATCTGGGAAGAAGATATGTTTGCATGAACTACGTGACTGAGATCTTATTTGAATTTCAAGTCCGCGAGTCATGCGATAAACGCATTTGGTGTTATTATTGCATCTAACTTGATACTTTTTAGGCCAACATGACTCCAATTTATTCTTTAATTCCTTCTATAATTATCAAATCAAATATTTTTACCAATAATCGAGGTCGATTTCGCAGATAAAATTCACATGGTTTTCTTTCTTCTTGACAAAGCGTCATTCAGGACTATCATCGATTACTTGAAGTCATTATATTACCAGCCTTGTTAACAAGTTTTCATGAATAAAATGTTTCTGACGTGCCCTAACTATCCATATAAATACTTTACGACTCCAATACATTCATAACAGCTTAAATCAACCAATATTTTAATATGAATTCGAACATATCCTATTAATCGATTTGTTTTCACAGTCGATTCGCTTGTCATCGTGCTTGTTTTACTCTCGTCTTGTTAAAATAAAACAAACTGGAATAAATACTCAGGGCTACTTTCATTCCGAGTTAAATTTGATGGCAACAGCAACAAATAATTGTTGAGTTCAGTTAAACATTACAAGAGTTTGTCGTTGGAATCCAAGAAAAGGGCGGAGGGGGAAATGTTCGTCGGAGCCCCTTTTACTTTTTCATTGATCGTTAGCGCTAGCTCTTACTAGAAGACACTTTGAATTATGAACAGTAAGACTGGAACGGAGTAATTTCTATTATATGAAACTTAACTCATCTACACAATTCTTCTGCAGAATTGTTCCTCCCCTCCGTGCTTATTAATCATTTTGCAAAAAAACGAAAATTCCTCTACATTGCAAAGAATCATGACAATCTGGTGGCTTCCCAGGGTTCAACGCACACCCCCTTTGAAAAATCCCAGCTTCCCACCGAGACCACCGCTGTAGAGGCAGGCCAAACTAAATTCAACTATCAAACTTGACTTGTCTCAAGGGAAACATTTGGAGCAGGCCTTTGAGTGCAACAGCTAAGTGAAAATGAAAAATCAGAGTTACGCTCAAGGACCTTCCAAAGGATACATGACTTTGATATTTAGTTACCCCATCGAAAGAGACGTCCACAGTTTGATAGATGTTTTCACTACAGTTCATTTAGTTTAAAGTCAGACTACAGGAAAAATGAGAGAAAAGTAAAATACATTGCATAGTTACAAATGCTAAACGATAAAATTAGCCCATGTCTTATCCGTCTAGGAGCATTATAAGAGCTTCCATATTTTTCTATTAGAAAACAAATGGAATTAATCTATCATCATGAGCTATTCAGAAAAAAAACATATTATAAGCTACTTGATCATTTCCTATTTCTTTCACGGTCTTCCTTTGCAAGTTGAGTAATAGTTATCTTTCCTTACTGTGATCGTGAATTTGACATGGAGACAGATGTTCGGTTTCTACGGCAACTAGAATCATTTCACACGAACTGGAATAAGAACATTCTACTGACAACAATCATTCACTTGACTCTGATGATGACTTCCGCACAGGTTGTCGAAACGTCAGTCACTACCACCGACAACAGTCCTTCTCAGGACTACACTCACCCGGACGATCAGACTACACCTTCACATGTTACCCCCGGGTTCAAACCATTTACTGCA